ATATATTAGGTCTTTAGGGAAATCGCTAAGTAGCGAGACAAATATATTATGTTTTGCAACTTCGTGATCTGACATTTCTAACATTTCCCTTTCTATTGGAACCTTCTGGAACTTTCTGGACACTGGAATGTGCTAGACATTGGAACCCTCTCGACATTGGAACCTTCTTGATATCGGAACCATCTTGACACTGGAATCTTCTAGACATTGGAACCTCCTCGACACAAGAACCCTCGCCACATTGGAAACTTCTAGACATTGGAACCATCTCAACATTTGAACCTTCTTGATATCGCTACCACCTTGACACTGGAATCTTCAAGACACTGGAATCTTCTAGACACTGGAATCTTCAAAACACTGGAATCTTCTCGACATTGGAACCTTCTTGATATCGGAACCATCTAGACACTGGAATCTTCGACGTTGGAACCCATCCGACGTTAAAACCCTTTCGACATTGGAATCCCCGCGTCATTGGAATCTTCTCGATATTGGAACCTTCTCGAAATTGGATCTTTCTCAACACTGGAACCTCCTTGATGTCGGAACATTCTTGACATTCAAACCTTCTCGGATTGGAACCATTTAGACACTGAAACCTTCTCGGCGTTGGAATCTTCTCAACATTGGAACCTTCTTGATGTCGGAACCTTCTCGACATTGGAACCTTCTCGACACTCTATCCTTCACGACATTGGAATCATCTAGACAATGCTACCTTCTCGACATTGGAATCTTCTCGACATTGGAACCTTCTCGACACTCTATCCTTCACGACATTGGAATCATCTAGACAATGCTACCTTCTCGACATTGGAATCTTCTCGGCATTGGAACCATCCAGATGTCGGAATCATTTAGACACTGAAACCTTCTCGACATTGGAACCTTCTCGGCATTGGAACCATCTCGGTATTGGAACCATCTCGGTATTGGAACCATCTCAACATTGGAACATTCTCGGCATTTGAACCTTCTCGGTATGGGAACCTTCTCGAAATTGGAATCTTCTCGGTGTTGGAGCCATCAAGACACTGAAACCATATCGACATTGGAACATTCTTATTGTTGGAGCAATCTGGACAATAGAACTTTCAACACTGGAACTTTCTGGACATTAAAACCTTGATCCTTCAAGACACTTGATCCTTCAAGACTTTGGAACCCTCTAGGCATTGGAACCTTCTCGACATTGGAACCTTCTCGGTATTGGAACATTCTAGGCATTGGAACCTTCTCGACATTGGAATTGCTTCTCGACATTGGAAGCTTTTAGACCCTAGAATTTGTTAGACACCGGAACCTTATGTTTTCTATGAAGGGTTGATATTTTCTTCTGTATGCCTATCATGGTAAAATAGTTGAGACATAATTTTCATAACTATGTAGACCCCTGTGTGTGAAATAGTTTGTAGTGATAGAATAATCAGAGTATATAAGTATATAAAAATATATTATAATTTCCATGATATTAAATTAAAGCTAGAAACAAGTACTTTGCAGACATTAAATATTATGTTTAGACTTTTTTCTAACTTTAAACTAAGGCAACACTGAAATTTCGGCCCGGTCTTAATAGCTGAGACATAATTTTCATAACTATGTAGACCCCTGTGTGTGAAATAGTTTGTAGTGATAGAATAATCAGAGTATATAAGTATATAAAAATATATTATAATTTCCATGATATTAAATTAAAGCTAGAAACAAGTACTTTGCAGACATTAAATATTATGTTTAGACTTTTTTCTAACTTTAAACTAAGGCAACACTGAAATTTCGGCCCGGTCTTAATAGCTGAGACATAATTTTCATAACTATGTAGACCCCTGTGATTATGATTACATAAAACATTTTTCAATTTTACAGAAACTGTAAATTTTATAGTTATAATTTCTAGTTTTAAACTTGGAAGAACTCGGTAAACTTTTATTATTTATTTCTTCTGGGTCGGCCTTGGTTCAACCTTCTCAACCTTCTAGACTTTTCTTTCTAACCTAGTTTTCAAAACTATTAAACACTTTTTATAGATTTAATGCAAGGAGAGATATTTACAAACCCATGATCGATTTACGTTTAGAAATATGTTTTCTTATAAACTTAAACCCCAACACATCTCCATTACACCCTTCAAGGTTTTCAACCCCTCTCCCGTTTAAGGTTCCAGATTCTCCCTTGAAACACGAACTCCCTGCTATTGACTCCCTTGTTATTGAGTCTAAAGTTAGAACTAGGGTTGGTTTCATCTGTCATAGTTCCTAATTAGATACTCGGATACAAAACTTGAAATCTCTGATTAAATTTGAAACTAATTCCCGGACAAGAATTCTTAGAGAGTTCTCTAATCCTGACTTGGGAACTTAAAATTGGATTAAATTCCAATACCTTTTTCTTGCATCAGTCTCTCATTGGTCAAAATTCAAATATTAAAATCGAGACAAGAAAATCGATCAGAATTTTGACAAATTCCTCTGCAAATCCAAGACTGCTATATGAAGAACCGGTTTATACGGGGTACAAATTTTAGGCCGAATTTAAAGAAATTGAGCGGCGGCTTAAATTTAAGCCGCCGCTCAAATATGGTTGATTTCACTTAAAATTGTATTCAATGTTTCAAGATTTAAGCCGGTGCTTAATTGAAACCGGTTTTTGGCGGATTTGAGACGCGGCTCAAATTCAATAAATTCGGACAGTGGTGATGGTAAACCTACAGAGCAAATTTCTAAAAGACAAATCAAAGTCGGTCCAGTATTAAAAAACTTAAAAAAATAATCAACAGGTTATTTATGAAACATAATATATTTAACAGCACTATATACAAACACTGCATATGTATATTTCATTGAACACACGATAACACTAAACCTTTAACTTTATATCCAACCCAGTTCTCAAATATTGAAATCTTTGAGGTCGGAAGAACCCAGAATATCAAGAAAGATTTGAGAAATAAATTTCATCTTAATTTGATCTGATGGAAATACCAAAATGGAGGATATTTTTTTGTTATTTGTCCATCTCCAGTTAAGGTTATATATCTACATGGTGCTTAAATCTCAGTGCAATAAAATGTCCAACAACAAAATATTGATTTTCAGTTATAGAAAACTTTGTTTTTTTGACAATTCCTTGTTAACTGTGTTTAAAAATTTAAAAATTAGAATTTAAATTTTCTAATTTTGAAAATGTTTAATCGTCGGACACTGTCAATAGTTAATATTTACAGTGGGAATCATAAAACTGGGGAAAAGAGAAGACGACGTTTGATTGCAATCATCTGTGAATTAAATATCGTTATCGTGAAATGGGTAAATACGGCGCCGTCACTAGCTGTGTTTCATGTTCATTGGACTATGTAAAATCATAACTCGAGACTATACTGTCGATTTCCTATTCCGCAGGTTTATGGGCACCACTGTAATAAGTTGATTAATGATATTATATAATGATATGGTGATTACAAATAGATACGTGAAGAGTAGTGTGAGGCACATTGTGTTTACGCAGGTTATATATACAAATACATAGTTAACATGTACAATGTGTGTACTTCGCCGATTTACAGGCCGATTTACTTTTCTATTGGGGTACATATTCTTATTACATATTTTCACTCAAGCTCTCCACAATTATGAAATCTTTTACATGGACAAAAGTTGAATCATAATAAATTTAAAAATCAATGAAAGAAAAGCTAAAGACAAAAAAAGGACTGCTCTCTTATAACACAAAGTACTCCTTTTGTACTTTGTCTTCGCCTACACCTCTATAGTCATACCTCCACCTTCCCCTTTATTTCATAGGTTTCTCCCCCTCCCCTCTCAATCCACACACCATTCTTCGCCCACACCTCTATAGTCATACCTCCACCTTCATCCCTTTATTTCATAGGTTTCTCCCCTCAATATCCCCACCCCATTCTTAATCCTCTTCCTCCATAGCTCATATATGTACAGTCATATCCAGAAAACAATAGAATAGGAAGACGACATTATAGCGATATTTAAGTGTATTCAATGTTGTTCCAAAGCAAATAGTTTTCCAACTCACTTATTTAATGGGTCTGTTTACACTGAACAATTGTTGTGTCTCATGCTCATTGGATTTTTGAAGTTTGAACTTAATTCTAAGAGTCGTCTATTTCAGAGTTTCTGGTTATCACTGTATCCTATTTCCATCCTTCCTCCATTTCTACCCTTCCACCCCTATCTCTACCCAACCTCTATCCCTGTCTATACCCCACCTCTCCTCCAACTAACCCCAGTCTCTACCCAACCTCTCTCCCTGTCTACACTCCACCTCTCCTCCAACTAACCCCCATCTCTATGTCTTCATCCCAAAAGTCTTGAATCCAAGTTTGCTGCATCTTATTAGAATATGTTGCATCTCTAGGGATATGTTTAATCTAAACTGTTCAACGTATCACAAGCAGCTGAAGGGAGTATTTAAGGACTATTTCAAGAGTCCTTTCATGCAAAGATTGGAATGTCCGATTTACAAAGGTTCCCTTGAAACCTTAATCTCATCTAAAACGTGGAAATATCTTTGCCTCTGAGGCTCTGACTCGAAAAGTGTGTAATTTTGATAATTTTTCCATTTCTTCTTAAAAGCAAAAAATGCGCATTTCACATTTTTAGTTTGAAATAAACAAAAACATGGATATCTTATTCATTTATCAGAGAAATATTTGAAGGGTACCGTTGTAAAGCGGGTATTCACATCTTTGCACAGAGGGTCACTTAAATTTACGCTTACAGTCCCTTTTATTAAAATTTCGAAAACGGGGAACCAGGAATCTTTGGTGGGGGGAGGGGGGAGTAGAGTTGCATATTTAAACAGACATAGCTAGGTCCTAGAATACTTGGTTCTAATTGAGTTTATGGTATAGAACACGAGTCTATATTTCCTCCTCTCTCTGCTGTATGAAGCATATCAATGTTTATCATATTTCCAATAGAGAGTTCAGCAATACATCCGGTCAACCCAGTCCAGTAACTATGTGTGGATATTCCACTATAATCCTCTACTCCACCTGAAATATTTAAAATGTTAAACCTTATATATTTCCGAGGATAATAACAGATTAAGTTAATCGTCACACTTCACTACAGTGAAACCCTTAATATCGAATACATCGGAAGTATTTATAAAATGTCGTCTTGACAATTTCAATGAGTTTTATACTATATTACGTAAATTTCAGTATTTGCGAAAATAAATAAATAGCCATGAATATGCGGGAACAGTTTTAAAGAGTTCCATATAATCATTTAATTAAAAAAACTAAATATCTGCAACATTCCATTATCAGAAAGTGAAGAATACGACCTTTGATGAATTCTTTCGATGTATTCGTTATTAAGGGTTTCACTGTATTTTGTATGAATTTGAATTCACAAATGCTCAATTTCTAACGCTCTGTAAAATATAAAAAGAAGTTAAATGCATGGACTTCGTTTAGATCTTACAAGAAAGTCAGGAATCCTGTACTCTAAAGCCTATAATTAACCATTTCATAACACATTGTTAGACATATATATTATATAACCAATCTTAATACTACAAATAATTCCAGAGATTTTTAATATTTTTAATTTAACAGTCTTTACTAAATCTCCAACCTAAGGCTTCTTAAATTTGATCTAGTATTAGCTCTGGCTTTACTTGTAAATGTGTAGGTGCCACAGCTATAGGTTTTCAAGAGGTTTAGAATAGAATCTTAGCTCTTTTTTAAATTTTAAAAAAGACTTTAGTGCAAAACTTGATAGAAAATAATCATTCTTTTAAACCTTTACAGAACCTGACCTGAACCTAACGAAAATTGTCTCAATTATTGAATAAGATAAGAATTTGCGTTGCTTTAAAGAATCCGACATTGAACAAAATTAAAAGTAAAACAAGAAAACCTTAAAAAGTTTTTTTTATAAAATTAAACTTAATCAATTAAATGAAAAATAAAATTTCATTGGAAACAGGTATCACGGCATGCCGCATGGATTAGATACTTTAATGAATTACTATTCAGCACGTGCCTATATATAAACCGGTTTTTGCATTCAGCTGTCGAAGGTTTCCAGGTGCAGAACCGGTTATGACGTCACCGTTGTCCACCATTAAGGAAGCAGTTTGTTCAAGTCTAAATAGTATATATAATGATAATAACAATATTATAGTAAAAATACTATTGATAATGAACAAAATATTAATGATTATAATAATAATGATAATAATAAAAATGAACCTTGTAGCTCTGACTCTATGCCAAAGTCCATCATCTATCCTGGTAGAATTATATTCTAGAACCATCTCTCCACTTCCAACATTAAACACAAACTAAACAAAAAGTATTTTTTAATAGATATTCTTTATTCTCTGGAATAGGATTAGATGTGACGTATGGATATATTTAATCAAAATAGAGATGGAAAAAAAACCTACCGGCCCAGTTCAGTTCAATAATTATATTTTTGCCAACCCCATTAAACCTTTATGCACATTACAAATCCAGTCGGTTCATCCTTTATCTAACACGCCCTTCATACACAACACTTCCTACGTCTGTAAATATTATTTCCCCCAGTTTATCCTATCCTATCCGTCCCACCCATGTTCAGAAATTGATTTTATCCTGTATTCCCCTTGTCAGTTGTCACTTCCTTTAGATTCTTTAAGAACCTTATAAAAGTTTGAACCGAAGAGAAAACAAGGTTACAGATTGTCAATGTTGTTAAATCTCAATTTTCTTTGATGTAGTAATATCTAATTTAGTATTTTTAAGCCCCTTAAACAACTTAATCCCCCCCTCTTCCCTTCTGTAAACCCATGGGCAATCTAGTGTGTAAGTAGGAAGCAAATAAAGTGTACATTTTCTCAGTGTGTGTGTTTACTCAATCCGTCTTCACAATCTGCTCTCTACTCATATATTAAACAGGGGGAACCAAGGAACTTTACTATAGGAGAACTTGGATTTCTAGGAGTTCTTGGAGTACTAGGAGTAGTTGGATTTCTAGGGAAAGTAGGAGAACAATCAGTACAAGCAATACCAGGAGTACTAGGATAACGTGGAGTACTTGGAGCAGTTTGAGTTCTAGGAGTTCTTGAAGTACTTGGAGTACTTGGAGTTCTAGGGGTACTTGGAGTTCTAGGAATTCGTGGAGCACTAGAAGTAGTTTTAGTTCTAGGAGTTCTTGGAGTACTAAGAGTTCTTGGAGAACAATGAGTACTAGGAGTACTAGGAGTACTAGGAGTACCAGGAGTACTTGGAGTACTTGGAGTACTTGGAGTATTTGGAGTACTTGGAGTACTTAGAGTACTTGGAACACTTATATTACCAGGAGTGCTTGCAGTGCGTCGAGTACTTGAAGTGTGTGGACTACCTGGAGTACAAGGAGTACTTAAAGTGATAAGGGTTCTAGTAGTACTTTGAACATTTGAAGTACTTGAACTACTAAGCAATGCCAAGAGTATTAGGCGTATTTAAAGTACAAAGTATCTGGAAACTAAAGTTTGATTCCATTTTAAAGTTTAAATCTTTTGATAAACTGGGTATTATGATATTTAAAAGTTTGAGAAAGCTGTCAGTTTAATATTGGTTTTAATTAATTTGGATTCTTTAAAATAGCCTTAGATTGGACTGAAAATATTTGAAGAATTTACAGGATTGCTTTGCAGGAATTTTTCTAAAATAAAAAGAAAGCAATAAAACTATAAAATATTGTAAAATATTGGTATAAACAAATATATATTATTGTTTTCACTGATAATATTTATTCTACATTAGATTTCTTTGATATGAGATAATATATATATAGATGGGATAAAATTAAGAGACGTAAAACTTTTTTGGCGAACACGAACAAATTGGAAAACTTTAAGATTAGTTTTTACATTATTTAAGACCATATACCAGTCAATATTTCTCTAGTAGTAAACCGTTTATTAATTATTAAAACCCTCCCTTCCTTCCCTTCCTTCCCTTCCTTCAGGAATATTCGGGACAGACAATGTCCAGAATATTATATGTCCTATCTTCAAAGGAAAAATGCCGCTTTTGTCCCTGAAAAACGGTTTCACGCGACCCCTTCCCTTCCCTTCCTTCCCTTTCTTCCCTTCCTTCCCTTCCTTCCCTCCCTTCCCTTCCTTCCCTTCCTTTACAATATTACCCTACCTTACTATAAAACATGTATACTTAATAATTTCTATATTTCCCCCTCTATTTTTGATAATTTCTTTCTCAATACATATATGTCGCCTCCCCCCCTACTCGATCCTAACTTATAATACTTCTTTCCAGCTTTCCCCCCCTACGAATAAATCACCCCTCCTCTGAGATATAAAACAACCATGCCAACTAAATATAAACAATTTTTCCTAAAAGGACTGGAAGCGTTATTTCAAGTGAACCTCTTTGCAAAGATGGACATTCCTGCTTCACAACTGTATCCTTGAAATCTTTATATGATTAATAATGTGGAAGATATTGTCGGTTTTTAGGTTGAAAGCTTTTAATTCTAAAAATTCATATATGTTTTCCTGCATTTGAAATGTGCAAGTAACTTTTGTAGAGAAACCAGAATTGAAAATAATTAGTTTCTAAATTTTCAAAGTTCCTTAAAGGTCCTTAAAGTTCCTTTCGGTTCCTTTAAGTTCCTTTAAGTTCCTTTAAGTTACTTTAAGTTCATTTAAGTTCCTTTAAGTTCCTTTAATTGTTCCTTTAAGTTCCTGTAAGTTCCTTTAAGTTCTTTTAGTTCCTTTAAGTTTGTTTAAGTTCGTTTAAGTTCGTTTAAGTTCCTTTAAGTTCCTACAAGTTCCTACAAGTTCCTTTAAGTTCCTTTAAGTTCCTTTAAGTTCCTTTAAGTTCCATTAAGTTCCTTTAAGTTCCTTTAAGTTCTCCTTTAAGTTCCTTTAAGTTCGTTTAAGTTCGTTTAAGTTTAAGTTCCTTTAAGTTCCATTAAGTTCCTTTAAGTTCCTTTAAGTTCCTTTAAGTTCCTTTAAGTTCCCGTCACCTTTCTATATTATTATTGTTTCCTTGCAAGAACACCTTTGAATCTAAACCAGTGACCTTCTGACTATTCAGATTGAAATAACCAACATGATCCTTCTTGCCCATATTTTTCTTTCCCATCTTTAAAAAAATGGAAAATGAAAAAAAGGGGAATATGCGATGTTTTAGACTTTTTAGAATTGTTATGCTTCTTAAAAACATAAGAAACCTCATTTAAAAGCTAGGACAAGGATATTTCAAGGTTCCAGGACTTGTATAATTTTATCTTCCCTCTACATTTACTTGGATTAAGGATTAAACCTCATAACATTTTCTCCAGTTTTATTATCCTTAACTGCCACCATTTTATCTTGTAGGCACTATCAGGACATATACACACCCAATAACCAGCAAGTATTTCATGCTAGGTATAGAGTAACATTAAACTTTAATGTTGTATATTCCAATATTGCACTTTTACTTATTTTTAAGAAAAAAGTTCTCAATGGAATGTAGATTTGTGACTTCTATTATGAAATATCAACTATTTACGAATGCGTCGAAAAATAATCGATGACTATTGTTTGTAATATCTGAATGATTTGTTAGGAATTAAATTGATATGTTTACGATCCGAGTTGAATGTTGCATCTTTCTGAGTGTGTATGGACACTAAGTTCTTCGGTGTGAGTCGTTTTTAACAATTTTCTCTTTACAGACGTAACAGATAGAAGTACGATCAGTAGCGATCAAAAGCTCTTTTTTATCGCATAAGCCTTTACCCCCCTTCATTTTTCGCGAACACTCCCTTTAAAGAACAACGTTATAAAAATTGGACTTTAAATATGAGAGACCTCGAACTTACACTTTCGTCTTTTCGTTCAATTGCAAAGTGAGAGATTTAGCTAAATATAACAAGGATGTCAATGCCCACCCCACCCATTCTCCTTCCCATAGATCACAAAAATAATATGATTAACATTAAAAATCAAGTGCAGTAGCACTAAAATAATAGTTTTGAGAATATTCCCGAATATATAATAATTTATAATCAGAAAACCTAAATTTGTTATATTTCTGGTGAATTATCTAGTTGAGTTAGCATATAAAACAATTATGGAAAACAAAAATAAGGCAATTATTGTAAACTATAATTTACTCATATACGTAATCGTAAACTATTTATGCTTATGAAATAATAAAATTTCTAAAATCTTAGTTAATTACAAAGTAATGTTTAACATGTTTAAAAATGTTTAAAATGTTTTTAAATCCCTAAGAATGGATTCAATCCTTCTTTCTCCTAATACCTGGAGGTATCCGTTGTGAACTCCGAGCAGGAGATAATCAGGAGTTGGTTCCGATTTCTCTCCTCCCACCCACATGAGCAGTCCATGGGCTGATGTAACACGCAGTCTGATATTGATGGAGTTAGCAGTCCCTACCAAACTAAAAACATAATTAGTTAGCGCTAGCAGTCCAAACCAAACTAAAAAACATAATAAGTTAGCGCTAGCAGTCCCTACCAAACTAAAAAACATGATAAGTTAGCACTAACAGTCCCCACTAAAATAGAAGCATGATTAGTTAGCACTAACAGTTCCTACCAAACTAAAAACATAATTATCATGCGCTGGCAGTCCCTACCAAACTATAAACATAATTAGCTAGTGCTGGCAGTCCCTACCAAACTATAAACATAATTAGCTATTGCTGGCAATCCCTACCAAACTATAAACATAATTATCTAGCGCTGGCAGTCCCTACCAAACTATAAACATAATTAGCTAGTGCTGGCAGTCCCTACCAAACTATAAACATAATTAGCTAGTGCTGGCAGTCCCTACCAAACTATAAACATAATTATCTAGCGCTGGCAGTCCCTACCAAACTATGAACATAATTATCTAGCGCTGGCAGTCTCTACCAAACTATAAACATAATTAGCTAGTGCTAGCAGTCCCTACCAAACTATAAACATAATTATCTAGCGTTAGCAGTCCCTACCAAACTATAAACATAATTATCTAGTGCTGGCAGTCCCTACCAAACTATGAACATAATTATCTAGCACTAGCAGTCCCTACCAAACTATAAACATAATTAGCTAGTGCTAGCAGTCCCTACCAAACTATAAACATAATTAGCTAGTGCTAGCAGTCCCTACCAAACTATAAACATAATTATCTAGCGCTGGCAGTCCCTACCAAACTATAAACATAATTATCTAGCGCTGGCAGTCCATACCAAACTAAAAACTAATAAGTTAGCAGTATCAAATGACTTAAGGCCCGTTATGATTTTTCTTATAATTTGTTCGCTCTTCCTTTCGTTTTCAAGTGATCGTTTGATATATTCCTGCCGGTTTCTCTAGCTATGCAATAAAATGAGTATTGAAAACCATTTTCAGTTTTTAGAAACTGGCAACAACTGTAGAATACAGCCAAGTTTTCTCTTTTTATTTCGGTTTATATTGGATCATTTCCAAAGCAATGAAAGAATTGAATTTCCTTAATTATCAATTACAGCTCTGAACCATAGGACTTAACACTTTATGTACTTTTTTCACCAGTTCGTTATAGGTTAGTTAAAACAAATAAACAATGAACACTTGCCACAAGCTCTGATTTTCTAATTTCTATATCTTTGAAATCCAATGTCGTAGACCTTAGATATTTCAAAGTATGAATTATGTTAGATCAAACAATCTAAGTTTGAAATATCAAAGATTTACACCATCAGGTTCAAAAGATGTAAAGATTAGAAAATCTAAATTTTTGGCAAATACTATGACATCAGGTTGAGAAGGTGTAGGGATTTTAAAATTTTGAATTTACTGCAAGTGCTCAGTACCTAACGTAACGGAAAGTACCATCGTTCGTTTTTAAATTGCATCAGTTTTTTTCCGATCTTGCTTCAACAATAACCGTTCTTTAACGGAATTTTCCGCAATTTTTTTTAAAACTTCCGTTCGGCCATCCCTTGTTGAACCTCTTGGTTAAAACCGGGGTTTGCGTTTTACATTTCCACAACTCCGTTTTAGTAAGAAGAAGATAGAACTTGATTTCTTCAAGATATTCATCTTTAATCTCTTCTTCAACTATGTATATTCAAGGAATAAAATGTCAAATATTTCTAATCTTAGTTTTCTCATAACTTTGGAATAAAACACATATGCGCAAACACAATGCGTTCTTTTATATTTTCTTAAAATAGAAACATTGCATCATACTGACTTTTTGGAACCCTTTCAGTTTTTTGTTTGTGGAAAAAAAAAACATTTTTATGTGTTTATTCAAGAATTCCCAACTGTAAACTATATAAAAGAAAGATTAAAGATTTCTATAACAAAGACGAGGAATAAAATGGCGGAAATTCGTTTCATTTAACAAAAAGAAACGAAAAAAGACTGCAGTCGTTATTAACACGATTTTTCTTCACTTAAAATATGATCAAAATTAGTAATAATGTGAATTTTCAAAATTGATTTTAATAAGATTAAATTTTGAATTATAAATTCAATAATCAATATGCTAAGAACTAACTCTTCTACAGGTTTGGAATATTTGACAAGTTCTAAAAATACAGATGCAGAAAACTTAACCCTAGAGACGTCTATTTAAATAAAACAAGATTGTTCAAATCTCTTAAAAGGATTGTTGACGTTATTTACGTTAAGATGGGCATTTAGGATTAACAACAATACCATTAAAGGGATTCTAGCCGCTATTTACTTTAAGATGGACATTTAGGATTCACAACAATACCATTAAAGGGATATCTTGCACATTATTGATAAGATAAAAGTTTGAAGAGTTCTGTTGTGAATCAGGTATTCCCCTGGAAGTCCCTTTAATTTCTAAATTTAGAATTTCTTTTCTAGAATTCTAAAAATGTACTTCCTAAACTTGAGACATGTCGAGATTCATAACTAAAATCTAATTTAATTAAGATTACTATGTGGTTTGTAAATGCATTAAAATTCTTATTTCTTAATTTACATTCTTACATATTTTCTTACCGCACTTATATAAAGTTACTTACTATAACATAAAGTTACTTCCTCTAATATAAAGTTCCTTAATCTAGTATAAAGTTACTTAGTCTTACATGAACATTCTTACTCTTTCATAAAGTTACTTACTATAACAAAGTTACATACTCTAGCATGAAATTACTTACACTAACATAAAGTTACTTGCTCAAGCATAAAGTTACTTACTTTAACATAAAGTTACTTACTTTTGGTAAATATCCTGATTGTTGAAGAATAAGTAACTGTTTCCTGTGAATCCTAGAGAAAAAATATCATTATTGTTTTAATTTTAATTATCATGAATTATTATTTATTTATTTCTAATTCAACTTCTAATCTGTTTAAATCATAGTGTTAATGTTGTTGTAATTGAAATTGGAACTATTCTTTATGTTAATTATTGATATTTTAATTTTGGAATTGATTTCATTATTATTCCTGTTCTAGCTCCTGGTATAGGAGGAGTACTACTTTACCTGGTATAGTATAGGAGTCTAGAGTAGAAGTACTACCTGGTATAGTAGAGGAGTCTGGAGTAGGAGTTTTACCTGGTAAAGGAGAGGAGTCTGGAGTAGGAGTAATACCTGGTTTAGAAGAGGAGTCTGGAGTAGAAGTACTACCTGGTATAGTAGAGAAGTCTGGAGTAGGAGTACTACCTGGTATAGTATGAGGAATCTGGAGTAGGAGTACTGGAGCTGGAGTACTACCTGGTATAGGTGAGGAGTCTGGAGTAGGAGTACTACAGGATTCTCCTCCCCAGCCTAGAGGACACTGACAAGAGAAGGTATCCAGGTTTGGAGAACAGATTCCAGCTCCACAAGGAGATCCTTGGCAGGAGTGCACACAGCTCTCAACATTTAACCCGGAGAGAGCAGAACCAACAAGTTGGATTGGTAAACCGTTTACAACCAACTAGAAAGTAAAAAAGTAAGATAAAATTATCTTTACACGGTCTACTGAGGATCGAAAGGGATAGTTTTCTAAAACTGTGACTTTAATTTCTTTGAGTGCATTACATTTTACTTAATTAATTTTCTCTGTTTATATCGTCTCAAACTCAATGTTTTCTTATATTTTTCCCCATGTTTTGATAGAAAATTGAAGGGACTGTGTCCGAGTGTAGTAGTCTTCCATTTAAAGAGTGGTATTTCAAATCTGCAATTAGGTACCCTATAAACATTTATATGAGCAGAAATCAGAACGATATCGTCACTTTAGTATGTTAAAATTACGACAATATCCTTAGATATTAGCAGTATAAATCCGTGAATCTCCTGAGAAACCAGCATTGAAAAGGATCAACTTTTTGCGGTAAAAATAAGTAAATCTCATTCCTCATAATTTTTCGCAGATTCAGACATTCTATTCTTTTGATGGAGAGACATTTGAAATAACATCTACAAACCCATTAAGAAAAAGAAAGGAACTGAGTCTCTGCCACAAAATCAAATTTCTTAAACCCTATATTTTTGCAACCCAATGTCGTAGACCTTAGATATTTCAAGCTATAAATTCTGTTAGATAAAATAGTTTAAGTTAGAAGTATCAAAGGTTTAAACCATATAAGGTTACAAATATAGGGATTAGAAAAAGCGAGTTTGTGAAAAAATAAACTCAATTTATTTAAAGCATTTCATACCTTTTGTATACATCCGTGAAACGCAGTTGTGATAGGTAGATAGGCTGATAGTATACCGTACTCCGGTACCCCACCCAACCATAGGTTCTGAGACAGGGAGAGCTGAGTAAACCCTCCTGGAGAAGTAACCGTCTCCCCCTCCTCTCCATCCAGGCTGAGATAAACCTCTCTACCCGTCCTGGAGATTGTCAGAGAATGCCAGGATCCAATCTTAACCTTGCTCCCGCTCCTAAAACAAGAGATTCTATAACTAGGGATAAGCTAAACCTCCCCTGGGGTTCAGACTATACTTTCAATATTAAGATTTAAGAAAATATTGAGAATTTTTCTCAAGTTTTGGTGTCACACACCACAACCCCTGCTCAGATCATTATCACTGTAAACTCCGGTTCATTTCAAGATATACCGGGGCGACCTTTAATCAGCTACATCACGCTGTATACAGTACACATACGAACCATATAAGGCCAAACTATCCCCGTCTTAATCAAATTGATGTGTTATGGAGTCAATTAATTTCTCACCGCAAACACTAATTTTCAAATTCTGAAATCTTTGCACCCTGATGTCGTAGATCTTTAATTTATTTTAAATTATGAATATTGTGAAATCACGTATAGGCTGAGTAAATGCGAGTAATCAGAAATATTAACTGTTCATGGTGATAAGTCCTTTAAATTCGTTACTAAAAGATCTCTTATAAGTACATATAATACATAAATCAGTACAAATGAGTCAAGAAGTAAATGAACAAATGAAAAATGTCAAAGGTTTCGTTACACTTCACTGGAGAAGAAAGAGAAGAAGGTCAAAGGAATTGAGTCTTTGCCACAAACACTGATTAATCCAAATATCTTCGCAACCTAATGTCGTAAACCTTAGATATTTAAAACTATAAATTTTGGGCGTTAAATGATAAAATTATTAATCAAAAAACGTCCCTACAATTTGAACGTTCAATTGGAACGTTACATAACCCACATAGTTACCAGATAACTTATTGATCTGTGTATGCAAAGGGATTGTAATTTTGTACCCTCATCCTTAATTTTCTCGGATAAACAGATCAAAATATTAAAGCAATATATATTATTTTCAATATTTTTTGGAAGTCCATGCATGAAAAATGTTGAATTTTAATATGAGATATGTTAACGCTTTTAAACGTAAACAATTTCCAACCATGAAAATCCGTCAAATACAATAATAAACCGGTTTTATGAACTCAACTCTGTGGAAAATTAGATACAGTTTAAAGGGAGTGTTCGCGAAAAATGAAAGGGGGTATAGGCTTAATGCGATAAAAAAGCGCTTTTGATCGCTACTAATCTTACTTCTAGCTGTTGTGTCTTTGAGGAGAAAATTATTAAAAACGACTCACACCAAAGAACGTAGTGTTTATACAAATTCGGAAAGAGGCAACATTCAACTCGGATCGTAAAAAATCTATTTAATTCCCAACAAATCATTTAGATATTACAAACAATAGTCATCGATTATTTTTCGACGCATTCGTAAATAGTTGATATTTCATAATATTTTGTATTTTTCATGATCTGAGAGTTACATTTTTCCTGTTTCGAGGATTTTTGATAATGAAGACGACATTTTCATGTTTCCAAGAATGTTCGAAAATCAAAAATATTATGAAATATTAACTATATATGAATGCGTCGAAAAATAACCGATGACTATTGTTTGTAATATCTGAATGATTTGTTGGGAATTAAATTGATTTGTTTACGATCCGAGTTGAATGTTGCATCTTTCCGAATTTGTATGGACGCTGCGTTCTTCGGCATGAGTCGTTTTTAACAATTTTCTCCTTATAGACGCAACAGATAGAAGTAAGATTAGTAGCAATCAAAAGCGCTTTTTTATTGCATTAAGCCTATACCCCCTTTCATTTTTCGCGAACACTTTCTTTAAATCTGAAAGCCCAAGTCGTAAATAAGGCCCACCGACAGCTTAGACCTGAATCGTATTTTCTTGAATGTTATAAATCGCCTGCTCTGGACATATACAGAACTATTTAAAAAAAAAAACTAATTCTTGAACTAATCAATACAGCAAGATTTAAACAAACCAAAAATTTCCCCACCGTAGTTTGCACAGTATAAGACGATGAAACAGCAAAGTTGGCAGACAGATTAACAAGTAAGAATTTATAAATTAAATCTTAGCATTTGAAAAATTGTGCTTAAAGAAGAATCTATTTATCTTTCCCCTCTCTAGATATTGATTGAGTAACCCTGTTTATGTATTTAGTCAAGTTTGAATGGAAACTAAATCAAGTTTAACCAACCCTGAACTCAATCCTGCCTAAAACAATTTTTCTTTCATTCTTTTTAAATACTATTTCCTGATAAAAAGAATTACTGTTTGGAATGGTTTGTTGTATTGCAGGGTTGGAAGGGAAACAACAGTTGCTCCGGGTATAAATTTACTCTTGGAGTAGAGCTCAAACTTTACTCCAACCTAAAGCTTGAACAGTAGCGATCCTATTTAATATTATATCATTTATGTTTTAGCATTTTAAGCTCCTTTTCAACAATATTTTAATTCATTTTTTATATTTTATCTTGTTCTTAAATGAAAAAAATGTAAGATTAAATTCCAGAACTAAAGGATTTATTTTGATTTTAAATTATGATTCCTTTGGGCAAAGTTCGAAATCAATGAAACAAATTTTTACAATCAAATTTTCGAATGTTTATTGGCTTTAAATTGAAAAACTGTTTTCTCACAAATATTCTTTTGTTCAAAATCAAAAGGTTTTCCAAACGTAGAATTTACAACATTTTCTATTTACAATAGGTTTACTATAGTTTGTGCTTATTTCAAAATTATTGTATCACCCTCCATATCATGCATGGTGCAATGGTTAGTCAAATTTTTTAATTCAATGTCGTTTTGAACATTTTAAAGTTAATTTACGTTTCAACGTTATAGAATTAAACTATGTTTTGTTTTTAATAATTTTAGAGTTAGTTAATCAAACTCTTCTGTTCAGATTTTAATTAAATTAACTGAATCGAAACTTCATGGGATAGGATTCATTTTTAATATTTTCAACAAAACATTTTTACCATTCTTAAAGTCTGAGATCATTGAGAAATTATTTTTGGAAAATTCGGGCAGAGGAAGAAACATTGCTTCGAAGTAAAAAGTTCCAATGCTAATGGTGAAATAAAAATGCATAAAGTTGATTAAAGTTTTAAACATTCTTCACAAAAAAGTTAAGCTTTGAAATCTTTTGTCTCTTAATATCTTCTTAATACCATGTTGCAAACCTATTCAGAACAATACACATACATTTGTGTTACTGCAAATAGGAGGTAATACAGAAAGATAGAAAGAGAAATGTATGTTATCTCAAGTTTCAAATCTTGAATGCAACACGGACCAGGATTTCTTGCTCCGGGTATATTCACTATTCCGTCTCCGTAGTTGGGATTACTTCACATCATTTTACACCAGGATACACAATTCTGTAGTTCTAGGGTTATCTTAGAGAGGAAACCCACGAGTTTAATGCAAACCAGAGAATAGGAAACCCTAGGGGTTTTATTTAAACCTAGAGAATAGGAACCCCAGGTTTAAACAAGGAAATAGGAAACCCATGACATTATTTAAAGCAAAGTAAAGTAAGCCCAGGGTTTTATTCAAATCAAAGAAGAGGAAACCCAGGGCTTTTATTTAATCCTTAGAATAGAAAACCTAGGGTTTTATTTGAGCCAGAGAATAGGAAACATAGGGGGTTATTTAAACCAGAGAATATGTAACCCAGGGTTTCATTTGAGCCAGAGAATAGGAAACCTAGGGTTTTATTTAAACCAGAAAATAGGAAACCTAGGGTTTTATTTGAGCCAGAGAATAGTAAACCTAGGGTTTTATTTAAACCAGAAAATAGGAAACCTAGGGTTTTATTTGAGCCAGAGAATAGTAAACCTATTGTTTTATTTAAACCAGAAAATAGGAAACCTAGGGTTTTATTTAAACCAGAAAATAGGAAACCTAGGGTTTTATTTGAGCCAGAGAATAGTAAACCTAGGGTTTTATTTAAACCAGAAAATAGGAAACCTAGGGTTTTATTTGAGCCAGAGAATAGTAAACCTATTGTTTTATTTAAACCAGAAAATAGGAAACCTAGGGTTTTATTTAAACCAGAAAATAGGAAACCTAGGGTTTTATTTGAGCCAGAGAATAGTAAACCTAGGGTTTTATTTAAACCAGAAAATAGGAAACCTAGGGTTTTATTTGAGCCAGAGAATAGTAAACCTATTGTTTTATTTAAACCAGAAAATAGGAAACCTAGGGTTTTATTTAAACCAGAAAATAGGAAACCTAGGGTTTTATTTGAGCCAGAGAATAGTAAACCTAGGGTTTTATTTAAACCAGAAAATAGGAAACCTAGGGTTTTATTTAAACCAGAAAATAGGAAACCTAGGGTTTTATTTGAGCCAGAGAATAGCCAGAGAAAAAAGTTACAAATTTTTATAAGGTTTCATGAAGACAATGCATTCATATTAGATATCTGATTACAGTCTAGTATCTAGTATAGTATCTTATATCAATATAAGGTTTCATGAAGACAATGGTTTCATATTAGATATCTGATTACAGTCTAGTATCTAGTATAGTATCTTATATCAATGCACTAGACCATTGATGAGTCTACAGATTATAAGAACAATATTGTTACAGAGCTTATATCGGATAATTAATCTATTCTCGACCAAAGGAAATCAGAGGGAATAGGAGTCTACTTAAAGGGACTGTAAGCGTAATTTCAAGTGACACTCCCTGCAAAGATGCCAAAGTCCTATTTCTTACGGTGCCATTGAAACCTGCTCAATTTTGTGGAAAATATTTTCGTTTTTCTAGGTTCAATAGTGATTAATACCAAATAGATTCTAGTACAATAGATAGCAACGTAGAATTTGTACACTCAGTACAGCTGTATTCTGACGTCACAATTGTGTCAATTCAGTTTTTGTGTCCGACAAAATTATTAATAATAGTGATATTTTATAATATAGTACTAATCTTACAGTAAAATAAGTGCAATTGTATCTGTTTTTTATTTTCTGTTTTTACACTTTTTTATTTAATCTTGGAAAACGTGTCAACTAATGTGAGAAAATTTTGTTTTCCTTGTTATATTTGACACTTGTGACGTTGTGTATAATTGGTCCATTTCTCTGTTGCCACCTATATTTTCCTAAC